AATTGTTAAGCACCAGCTTTGACCACATGGTCAATGTCGGTCAAAAGGAGGCTCAAGGGTATATTAAGGCATGTTAGGGTTAGAGACTTAACCTACCCTAGGGCTCACAGTGAAGCGGTGGCACAGTGGAGCTTTTGAGGTAGCTCAGGGATGGTTGGGTGGTGAGAAATCTCAAAAGGTGGCATAGCATAATCTAGGATGGTTAGATTTCTATTTTTTTGCGCTAGATTATAATAGCATACTTGATGATAAAGGAGGAAAGAAAACTCTAGACTTCATTTTTCCATGATCCTTCACCAAAATGATCTCCCCCATAATCCATATCTCATACTCCATTAAATGCTCTCTAAGATCCATTGGTGCTTTCTACATGATCACCAAGCATTGTCCACATATGGAAATCCTTGTTATATGATTCTTTAGAGGGATTTTACAAAGTAGCAACATGATTGAGAGTAAATTTTTTGGTGAAGGAGTCAATAAAGATCCCACTAACTCTTCAACCTCTCTTCATACTATTATGATGTTGTTATATCGAAAGCTAATGGCTAATAGCATACAGGACTCTAAGACAACATTTCGGAACACTGCAGCCCTACACAGGTCTCATGGGTACTCGCTTTATGACTTGAGAGAAAGAGAAAAGAAGAGGATTTCCATTAATTCTTAGTTTTTATATTTAGGACTTAAAGAAAGAACATTGCAAAATTAGAAAAGAAAAGTTAGGCTAGAATCACTTTACACTCTGCTCTTATGCCTTGGTGTCATGAAGCTCTTCTTTACATAGTCCTTGGATTATATTTTATGTTTTGCTGTTAATCTCATAAAATATTGGTGTATTAAAAGTGGTAAATTTAGATGACCATTGTTGAATATATAAATTACACAAAAAAATATTTTTAAATGGTGGTAGAAAACTTTGCAAGGTTGGAGGGTATGCTTAAATATAAGAGTTATATACCAAATCATTTTATAAAAGTGGTGGAAGATAAGGTTTGTGATAAAGTTAGGTGGATGGGTAATAGGATATAAAAAGGAAAGTTTGATTGGACTTGTTTTTTATTTTGACTTCAAATATTAGGTCATAAAGAAAAGGTGGTGGTAGAATAGTAAAGTGGTAAGGGTAAAGGTATAGAGGGATGATTTTGTATATATATACCTTGTATATATGTACACCTTGACTTTGAATATGGCATTTTTAGCTAAAAAAATTTCCCATCATATAATCCCACCCAAACAAGCCATATGGTTGTAATCCATGCAAATTATTTACAACCCAATAGTAGTGTTGTCTTATAGTAGAATATGGGACATTTTCAACCTATATCCATTTACTTAGGTGTCATGTTATTTTCCATCAAGATCTGTTAGTAAGTATAATCCATTATTGTTGACCTCAACAATCTGATATAGGTCATCCTATCATAAACGAAACTTTTTTAGGAATGTTTTATCAATCTTACTATCATACTTCATAACCAAATCACCAACCTAAAAAGCCTTTACAAATTTCTTATCAAATCTGTGGTTTCTTTGTTGTTGAATTGCTTTCAGATGTTGAAGAGCTTGACGTTGATTCTCATCCATCCCCTCAAGCTAAATAGGCCTTAATTACAAGTCTTCATTGTCACTTAGTCCATGCTTCAATGCTAGTTGTAGAGTTGGGATCTTCAATTCAATTGGAAACATAACTTTTGTCCTATAAACTACCTAGAAAGGAGTGAAGTTTGTTGTTACTTTATATATAGTTTTGTAAGCCCATAATGTTGTCAACAGCTATTTATCCCAATCTTTCTTCTTCTCGATGGTTAATTTTACTAGAATGTTGCACAATACACCATTTGTTCTCTCCACCACTATTAATTTATGGATAGTATGATGTTGACTACCAATGTTTTATTGACAGCTTCCTCATTAGTGTTTTAACCACCTCATTGTAGAAGTGTGAGACCTAGTTAGTGACAATCTCTAACAGGTAACCAAACCTTATACATATATTCTAGATAAGAAAGCTTACCACAACTTCCTTGATATGAAGTTATATAAATCTCTTTCAATAATAATAAATTTAGCTTTTTAGAAGTTTTTTACCAAATGGCTCTCCACTAGATCTCGACCTCAATGTTCTTCCTGGCTGCTAGAGCTCCCAGGCTACCACATGCCTTGAGAGCCACCACAAAAGTCACATTGTCAGCTTCCAAGTAACATTTGTAAAGACAGTCCTTATAAATAGGATGTGAATATAAAAATTGTATTCAGGTGTGGTGGCACCTTTGCTTTTAGTTATTATTGCTTCAACCCACTTAATAAGGTTTGTTGCCACCAAGATAAATCTTTTTTGACTTAATGCCATTGGAATTAGTCCTACAAAATCTATCCCCCATTTCTTAAATAGTCCTATTGGCAAAATTTGATGAAGACTTCCTAGTCGAAGGATTCTTCTTTTGATGGCCTAACAAGTGTGACATGACTTGCATCATTCCCTTACGTCCTGGAATAATGTTTGCCAAAAATATCCTATATTCACAATCTTATTGATTGTATAATTATGGGAGAAGTGTCCACCATAATATCCTTCATGACACTGCTTTATGATCTCTTTTTGTTCATTTTGTCTAAATGCTCTCTAAAGCATGTTATTAGTTAATCACCTATTAGTGTGAATGGTTTTAACTTACGTATAATTTTCCAGTTCTCAATGCCTTTATATCCTTCTAGAAAACTCTCTATTCTCAAAAAATTGTAAATTTTCCAATATTCTTCCATGTCAACACTCATTGTTAAGACTTCATAATCTTCTTCTTGGCATAAATTGATCTCTTCTTGCTCCAGAGGTATTTTATAATCCAAAGCTCTAACCAATCTTGCTTAAGTGTTTTTCTCATGGTGAAACTTAAAGTTATACTTTGCGAAAGCTATCATCCATCTGGAAATTTTCCTAACAAATGTTGGCTTGTTTGTAATGTACTTTAATGCAGCATTATTTGTGAAGAACACAAAATATCTTCCCCATAAGTAGTGTTTGAATTTCTCCACCTCATATATGATACTTCTAGCTTGCTTCTCCAAAAGTGGATAACTTAACTCAAGTCCTTAAAGTTGTCAGCTAGCATAGTAGAGGGGAAATATATATCCTCTACTCCCCTTTTGGAATAGAATCATTGTGATAAAATACTTGTCAATGTTTATGTTTATGTAGAAAGTCTCATCCTAACATATGCTTGCAATTTAACATTTATCCAGATTTAGGCAATCTTTTGATTCATTTAGTCTTACAAATGTTATTGTACTTTTTCCAAATGAGTTGCTCAATTGCTATATATGTAAAAGTTGTCAAGCTGCATTCTAATAAACTTGCCAAGGTATGGCTCAAAGATCTTATTCATAAGTCATTGAAATGTTGCTAGTGCATTTATGAGCCTAAATGACATCACAGCATTTTTCTGGAGTGCAGACTATGATTAACGCTGTTGTCTTCCAGCCCCTGGACACAAAGCTCAACAAGATCCAGAGTGACATCCAGCAGCTCAAAAGGAGTGTTCAAGGTACATCCTTCTAGGGGACAGTATGTGTGGAGACACAATGTATTAACGACCAGGTCGCTAAAGAAAACACGGAGCTCTGAACAAGATCTGCACTCTCAAGCCAAAGCAGCCTACAATAATGGACAATGAGAACGAGCATGACAAGGAAAATGATGATGATGAGAAATTCCATTAGCAACTCAACAAGTTCAAGGGCAAACTCACAGGAAATCTAGCACTAATAAAGCTAATCAACATGATGGAGCAATAAAAGCCTTGAGAAGAAGCTCTGTTCAGTCGTGGGAGAATGAAGCACAATAGTCAAGATTATGACCTTGACACTCAAGGTTATAATCTTGACAATCTTGATTTAGGAAGAAGTGGCAATTGCCACCATGTAAGAGTAGTTTGCTGAGCTAATGAAGTTGATCAAAGCTGACTTCATATTTGAAGTGGAGAATTCAAATTAGTTGTCACTTGTTATAGTAACACTAAAGAAGGGAGGGAAATGGAAAGTGTGCATTAATTATAAAAAGTTAAATGATGATATATGACATGATTATGCCACAGGTCCTCATAAAAGTTTACAAAAAGCTTTGGGAACTTCTTTAACATCACCATTGTTTTATGATCTATGGTTCACATATTTGCAGTTTGATTTTCTGGGTAAAGACTCCACAAGGTACCAAAACTTCGTGGTTGTAAACAAAGAGGTATATGATGCTATACACAATTTTAAGAAAGGTATGTTGTGACTTGTGTGTTTCCTCATTGAGATGAGCTATCTGTTACACAGGGAAAAAGGAAGGGGCTGACCTCTTTGACAAGTTAGATACTTCTAATCTTAATGCCCATCTGAAGAAGTACATGCAAGGTCTAACAGTGAAGGTGTTTTGAACGTATAATGCATCGTATACTTTGAAAACGTAGGTGACTTTTACTTTGTCAAGGCCAAAATGATCTAACAATTTACTTGTTACAGTTGAAGGAGACGCTTGGTGCGACTCTTAACAAGAAAACTGCAGAATACTCCTGAGCAAATAAGGAGGTAAGAGAACATTCTGTTTGGTTAGCACTTTGCTGACAAGTCACAATTCCATGTAATCATCAACAGACAGTATCCAAGGGCCATAGTGCTCAGATGGAAAGATTGGAGGCAAAGATTGCAGAGTTAAAGGTCCATTTTTCTTTATGGTTTGTTTGAGGCTGACGCTTTGCTATTGGTAGACACTGCGTGAGGAACTTGCAACAGACTTGGGGAAAGTTAAAAAGGGCAAACCTCCAGGCGCTGGGAACGTCAAAGATTAACTACATGGATCCTCGAATAACAGTCGCTTGGTGCAAGCAACATGAAATCCCCATTGAGAAGGTAACCAGGCACTTTGTACTTTTACTGAGGCAGGAGATTTGGATCACAGGTATTTAATAAGTCATTGCTGGCCAAATTAGCGTGAGCAATGAAGGTAGAACCCAACTTCAGATTTTGTGAGGCTGATGGTGGTGCAGACGAAGACCCTTGATTCTTTGAAATGTATATTGTCTCCGGTATGCTTCCTCGTTCCCGCTGGCTAGAAGTAGAGAGAAAAACTTGGAAGAAGGTGACTCCCCTCTGTCAATATAACGTCAACACTTGTGAGACTCTATCTCAGTCTTGATGATCATAGTCTCACTGTGAGAACTAGAGGATAACATCACAGGGAGCTGAAGTAGGAACCAAGTAGGATCCATCACAGCAAGCTCAAGCTTCTGGAGCTACCATCACTTGAAGGTGGTGGCAAGTCAAGAACGTCTGTGTTACCTTCGAGCATATCCAAGACGTTTCTCATAGAGGGCCGGATTGCTGCCTCGAGTTGGATGCACCACAGTCCGATTTTCACGTACCTCTCGACATCCTTGAGCTCTAAGCCACTGCTAGTGCTGTCGAGATCATTGTCCAGGAGCTTGTCGTCAATAAGCTCGACGACGTTGCACTGTGAAACATGCTCAGCGCGGTTTCGCCCAGGAAGCGCGGTTGTGAGGAGGATGAGGAGGAAGAGGAGGATGGAGGATGGAACTGGATGGTGCGCTTGGAGCTGACGAGCTCGAGCAGCACGATTCCAAAGCTGTAAACGTCGGTCTTATCCGTGACTTTGGTGTGGAGCCACTCGGGTGCCATGTATCCGGGAGTTCCTCGCATGACAGTCACCACTTGCCTCTTTCCCCGCTCGGCAAGCTTGCTCAGGCCAAAGTCGGAGATTCTGGCTCGTAAGTTCTCGTCCAGGAGGATGTTTTGAGGTTTGATATCCAGGTGAAGAACTTGCTCCCGGCATCCTTCATGGAGGTATTGAGTGTCTCTGGTCCAGTTCAACATCAGGTTTGCTGATCCGCCACCTTTGTCATCATCGTTCTTGATGAAGATCCACTTGTCCAGTGATCCATTGGGTATGAACTCGTAGACAAGCAATGCAGCTGGTCCCTGGATGCAAAATCCCCGGAGCTTTACCAGGTTGAAGTGGTGAATGCTGCCAATGGACATTACCTCGGCCTTGAACTGCGAGTGTCCTTTCGACGAGCCTTGGATTTCTACGTCCATCTTCTTCACAGCAACGAGGCTCCCATCCGCAAGCTCTCCTTTGAAGACGGATCCAAATCCTCCAGCTCCAAGCGTGAGCTCGGGATCAAAGTTTCTAGTTGCCATCTTCAAGTCGTGATAGCTAAACTGGTGCGGAAGTATCTCATCGAGCCTCATTCCTTCGATGAGCGCTTGCTTTTCCATGCGCCTCCTCCGAGATCTTCTCCACTTCCTGGTTGCTACGAAGATTACGACGCTAAGCACCACCCCGGCCACAGCGCTTGCTACCCCAGAGATCACTCCCTGATAATTCTTTTTGCTTCGAATGGATTGTGGAAGATTACTATCAATGACATTCCAGGTGATATTTCTCAAGATTCCAATGCCTGGATCATACCCAAGCTGCCTCCACACTTGCTCGTTCGCAGCCACAGCGTTTGGAGCACAGGGCTCCGTGAACGAATGATCCCTGAGACACGCGCCTGGGGAGTAGCATTCAGCCACCATTCTAGCGACCGCAGTCCGTCCGTTTGGAGCTAAAACTTGGATGTTTTTCGAGCACAAGCTTCGGTCTTGGGTATACCATCCAGTGGCCAGCGCTGCCATGGGTTCCATATTCCATTGCGAGGACGTGCACGGCCTGAGAAACCCCGGATTTGAGAGGTTGAAGCTTGTGACATAGAGGACGGCATTGTTGGTCCCTTGTTAAACAGGGCTTTTATTCACCAGAAAACCAAAACTGGGCTGAGTTTCGTTAAGGCACGAAACCAGCAAAGAGCCGCGACAGAAAGTTTCGTCGTGCACGAAACCAACAAAGAGCAAGAGGGGGGGTCTTCACGTGGAGGTACTTTGTAGAAAAACTCGCCGCAGACTTTTATCTCAAGCCATGGTCTTGAGTAGAGCCAACAGAAAGATGATGGGAGAAGCTCCAAGTACCAAGGAACCAGCCTTTACGACTTGAGAGTGGAGTTACTGAAGAACATTGTTGGTCCCTTGTAAATTTGGAGAGCAGGTGAAAGTCCTGTAAGCCAGGCCTGGGACGCAGCAATTCGGGCAATCTGGAGCGATGGTGGCAGTGAAATTGACTATGGAGATGGGCTTCGGAATCGCTGAGATATGGCTCGGATTGATTGCTCGATAGGTAGCAGGATGAATTGCGGAGTGAATGGTTGCCGCTGAGCATGGGCTCCGGGAAACAAAGAGATCCATTCGGGCAGTCGCTTAACGAAGAACATACCTGTTGTTGGGCTTGCGAGGGTGCTACATAGCACGATCATGAAGCACATGAGAATCGCCACCTCCATAGTTTAGTAAATACCACTGTTCTTGGGCACCTGGAAACCATAGAAAATCAGAGATCATGTAAGTCTCATTAGTGTCTCTTCGGCCCACAGACTTCAAGTTTGGCAGCTGGCTGCAGGTATCTTTCAGTGTCAAGGTTCTTCTGGGCTGGCAGACTAAAAGAGCAATTTCTCCCCGGACCCTCGCAATGCTTGAACAAGTCAAAAGCCTGACAAGTCTAGCTCCACATGCCACAAAAGACTTTCTAGAGCTTTTAAACCAGTTTACGTTTGCAATTCCAGCCATGGATCATCGCAGCAGCACTTTCTTCGAGGATTCTCAGTGGAGAGAGTTTCACGTATCCAGAGGAGCACCAACGAGGCCACATCGAGGGTGAAAACAACGATTGCCCTGGCTGGTGGTCCCACAACAGACGCGGTATACACACACCACATGGCACGGCGATGCCTGGCTCCTATAAAAGCTAGTGCTCCGAGGTCATGCAAGAATTATACAGCCAGCAGCGCTGCATTCATTCATGGCTAAAAATCATCGATCTTCCGCTTCTCTTGTGCTCTTTTTCGCTTGCATGGCTCTGGGATTCTCAGTGGAGGCAGCCAGAGAGAGTTTCACGTACTACTGGACTGTAGAGGAGAGTGTTCTATGCGGCAACGAGGCCTCAAACACAGAAATCAAGGATTGCGATGGCAACGCGATAGCTTCCGTCTGTGGCGGTTTCAGTTCAAAAATCCACGTTGAGGGTGCTGGAAGGTTGAAGGACGGGCGCTACGTGAATTGTCAAGACAACGATTGCACCTGCTACTTCGTGACTGATGGTCCCAAGGGCAGTCGAGAGAACGACTTGCAGCTTTACGTGTCTATTGCTGTTCCAGATGAAGGGAAGTATCCCTTTGGATCACATCTCAAGATAGATCTGCTCCAAGGCTTAGCGCTTCCCAACGGCAGGCAACACAATGGATGTGTTCGGGTGGATGATGCCTGCAAGAAAGACAAGGAGAAGAACAATGAATGCAACATGGACTTCTACGTGGGATCTGAGAGTAACTACCATAATATTGAGCATGAGCTACAGGATGCTGAATCATGGGATGCCAATATTGATCCGAACTGCCAGATCCAAGACTATGGCAGCTAGATTGGAAATGCTTGCATATCATAAGATTTGGTTTGCTATTGAGACTAATAAACAGCTCACCTATTTTTATCTCTTAGCAGCAGGAATTCTATAATTAAAATTCATTGTTCTGATTCTGAAATCAGCATTGGTCTTTCGCAAAAAAGAAAGAGAAGCAGCAGGTTGGTGATTTTTAGACAATTACAATTCTTCCTGTGAGGTTTGGCAGCCGTGTGGCGATCTGGAGGAGTTCAGCAAAACAGATCATCGAAACTGCTTATAAACTACTGAATGAATATCGTCCACCTCAAGACCTTTTGGTTTCTCATCGAGGATTCTAAAAATATATGTAAATTGCCGTTCGATTGACCTGCTTAATAAGTTAATAAGCTACTTAGCGAGCCAAGTCCGAGACCGAGATGGAGATTTGCAATCCCGAGCTCTCGCTGCTGCTCACCAGGAGCGATGAATCCTGTGCAGCGGGTCTCTCCAGCTGAGGGAACGCCAACACATCCATGGCACCCTCGAGCATCTTCACCACCACAGACATCGTTGGTCGCTGCAAAGGATCCTCCTGTGCACACCATAGCCCGATCCGGATGATGTTCTCGAAGCCACTCAAGGATAAACCACCACCGTCCTCGGCTTTGACCAGCCGATCGTCCACCAAGTCCATGGCGTTTCCACTGTCGAGCTTGTTGAAAGCAGTCTGGGCGAGGAACCCAACGTCCATCTGTGAGTCCGAGGGATACTCCACGGCCTTCATGCAGCAGACGAGCTCCAGGAGGACGATCCCAAAGCTATAGACGTCCGTCTTGTCCGTCACACGAGAGTGGAGCCACTCGGGAGCCATGTATCCCACCGTACCCCGCATGACTGTCACGACATGAGTTTTGTCCTTGTCAATGAGCTTGGAGAATCCAAAGTCGGCGATTTTGGCATTCATCTTCTCATCCAGGAGGATGTTCTGGGGCTTGATGTCTAGATGGAGTACCTTCTCGCGGCATCCATCGTGGAGATACGCAAGCCCTCGAGCGACGTCGAGCGCGATGGAAAGCCTGGTTGCCCAGGGCAGATACTTGTCCTTGGCAAAAATCCATCTATCCAGCGAGCCATTGGCGAGGAACTCGTAGATGAGTAAGTTGTGGCGAGAATGCAGGCAAAATCCAACCAGCTTGACGAGATTGAGGTGATGGATGCTGCCAATCGACATCACCTCCGCTTTAAATTGCTTGTCCCCCTGCCGCGATCCACCGCCAATCCTCTTGACCGCCACAATCTCTCCGCTGGGCAGCGTCCCCTTGAACACAGTCCCAAACCCTCCCTCTCCCACCTTGCTCTGGAATCCCTTGGTCGCTCGATACAACTCTTGGTACCTGATTTGCCGCGGGGCATCCGTGAGATCCCCCAGATGGAGCTTGTTCTTGGCGGCATTGGACCGTCTCACGACCTTCCACCACAAAATGCCTAAGAGCGCCAAGGCAACGAGCGCTCCACTAGAAACCAGTGCAATGAAAAGAGTGCGTTTTTTCGAATCCTCGCCCTTCCACTTCCAAGTGACTTGCAACACATTATCAAAATACGTCTGCCCCAGCGCTTCCCACACACCTCTCGTCCCTCCCAGCGATCTGGGCGTGCACGGCTCGTAGTATCCAGTCAATGGGCTACACCCGATCGTTGATGCACAAATGTCCACCACCGTCGCCGTGACGCTCATCCCATTCTCTGCCGTGATCACAATCTCTTTGAAGCACGAGGATCCACTGGCAAACCATCCGGTGGCCATGTTTGCCAGGAGCTCCGAGTTCTTGTAAGGCGTGGACCGATTGCATGCCGTGGGGATTCCCTCCAGCTCGGTGTAGTAGAGAGCCGCGAAGTTGAGAGACTGCTCTTTAGGCGAGCAATTGAAGAACTGGTAGGTGTTGTTGTCGACGCAGTACTCGGGATCGTGGGCGGTGGCATTCGAGTAGATGAAGCTCTGGGCGGGCTCGCAGCCGGGAATTGGGCAGGAAAGGGTGCTAGCTCCTGGATCGCCATCGCAGGTCTTGCTAACAGGATTGCAAACGAGGCCGCCAGAACAATCGCGCCTAGAGTCGCATCTCGTGCCGCAAGAGGAGGAGAAATGCTGCGCGGTGGCGCTGACGAGTGAGATCATCGCGAGCGCGAAGAAAGTGCTGCTGCGATGATCCATGGCTGGAATTGCAAACGTGTCGCGGGTAAAATGGTTTAAAAGCTCTAGAAAAAGTCTGAAGTCTTTTGCCGTCTCATGTGGAGCTAGACTTGTCAAGCTTTTGACTTGTTAAAGCATTGCGAGGGTCCGTGGGAGGAATTTTTCTTTTAGTCTGCCAGCCCAGAAAACCATGACACTGAAAGATACCTGCAGCCAGCTGCAAACTTTGAGTCTGTGGGCCGAAACGACGAGAGAGACACTAATGAGACTTACGTGATGTCATAGTCTCTGATTTTCTATGACAACCGCGACTGTTGTCATAACATAAAGATTTCAGCAAATGGTTTTTCAACTGAACTCATACCAACATCAGCATTGGTCTTTTGCGAAAAAGAAAGAGAAGCGGCAGATTGGTGATTTCTAGCCATGAATTGAATGCAGTGCTGCTGGCTGTACAATTCTTCCAGCATTGCTGTCATTTCCACTTTTAGGGTTGGCATTGCCGTGCCGTGTGGTGCTTGTATACCGCGTCTGTTGTCAATGGTTTTTCAACTGAACTCGTGCATTGATCTTTCTTGCTAATAAAATGAAGTTTCTGACGAAGCAAATGTTTTGGTCATTCATTCATTAGTTGTTGGGATTATAATATGCCGTTTCGATGATCTCTTGAGTCATTTGCTGAACTCCTCCAGATCTTCCACCTCGAGTCCTTCCCGTTTCTCATTAAGGATTCTAAATATATATGTAATAACTTATTAAATTCTTCAGATATCTATCTGCACTTCCGAGCTCTCGCTGATGCTCACCAGGAGCGACGAATCCTGTGCAGCGGGTCTCTCCAGCTGAGGGAACACATCCATGGGACCCTCGAGCATCTTCACCACCACAGACATCATTGGTCGCTTTCTAGCGCGAAGAAAGTGCTGCGATGATCCATGGCTGTCACGGGTAAACTGGTTTAAAAGCTCTATAAAAAGTCTGAAGTCTTTGCGGTCTCAAGATCGAACCTCTTGGCTTGTTAAAGCATTGCGGGTCCCTGGGAGGAATTCCTCTTTTCGTCTACAGCCCAGAAAAACCAAGACACTGAAAGATAGCTGCAGCCAGCTGCCAAACTTTAAGTCTGTGGGCCGAAACAACGAGAGAGACATGATCTCATAGTCTCTGATTTCTATGGTTTCCAGGTGTCCAAGAACAGTGGTATTTACTGAACTATGGAGGTGTCGAATTCTCATGTGCTTCATGATCGTGCTATGTAGCACCAGGAGCTTCCACTCGCAAGCCCAACAACAGGTATGTTCTTCGTTAAGCGACTGCCCGAATGGATCTCTTTGTTTCCCGGAGCCCATGCTCAGCGGCAACCGTTCACTCCGCAATTCATCCTGCTACCTGTCGAGCAATCAATCCGAGCCATATCTCAGCGATTCTGAAGTTTGCAAGCCCATCTCCGGCTTCATTTTCAATGACACCATCGTTCCAGACTGCCCGAATTGCTGCGTCCCAGGCCTGGCTTACAGGACTTTCGCCTGCTCTCCAAATTTACAAGGGACCAACAATGCCGTCCTCTATGCCACAAGCTTCAACCTCTCAAATCCGGGGTCTCTCAGGCCGTGCACGTCCTCGCAATGGAATATGGAACCCATGGCAGCGCTGGCCACTGGATGGTATACCCAAGACCGAAGCTTGTGCTCGAAAAACATCCAAGTTTTAGCTCCAAACGGACGGACTGCGGTCGCTAGAATGGTAGCTGAATGCTACTCCCCAGCCGGGTGTCTCAGGGATCATTCGTTCACGGAGCCCTGTGCTCCAAACGCTGTGGCTGTGAACGAGCAAGTGTGGAGGCAGCTTGGGTATGATCCAGGCATTGGAATCTTGAGAAATATCACCTGGAATGTCATTGATAGTAATCTTCCACAGTCCATTCGAAGCAAAAAGAATTATGAGGGAGTGATCGCTGGGGTAGCAAGCGCTGTGGCCGGGGTGGTGCTTAGCGTCGTAATCTTCGTAGCAACCAGGAAGTGGAGAAGATCTCGGAGGAGGCGCATGGAAAAGCAAGCGCTCATCGAAGGAATGAGGCTCGATGAGATACTTCTGCACCAGTTTAGCTATCACGACTTGAAGATGGCAACTAGAAACTTTGATCCCGAGCTCATGCTTGGAGCTGGAGGATTTGGATCCGTCTTCAAAGGAGAGCTTGCGGATGGGAGCCTCGTTGCTGTGAAGAAGATGGACGTAGAGATCCAAGGCTCGTCGAAAGGACACTCGCAGTTCAAGGCCGAGGTAATGTCCATTGGCAGCATTCACCACTTCAACCTGGTAAAGCTCCGGGGATTTTGCATCCAGGGACCAGCTGCATTGCTTGTCTACGAGTTCATGCCCAATGGATCACTGGACAAGTGGATCTTCACCAAGAACGATGATGACAAAGGTGGCGAATCAGCAAATCTGCTGTTAAACTGGAATCAGAGACACTCAATCGCGATAGATGTTGCTCGAGGACTCACATACCTCCATGAAGGATGCTGGGAGCAAGTTCTTCACCTGGATATCAAACCTCAAAACATCCTCCTGGACGAGAACTTACGAGCCAGAATCTCCGACTTTGGCCTGAGCAAGCTTGCCGAGCGGGGAAAGAGCCAAGTGGTGACTGTCATGCGAGGAACTCCCGGATACATGGCACCCGAGTGGCTCCACACCAAAGTCATGGACAAGACTGACGTTTACAGCTTTGGAATCGTGCTGCTCGAGCTCGTCAGCTCCAGGCGCACCATCCAGTTCCATCCTCCATCCTCCTCTTCCTCCTCATCCTCCTCACAACTGTGCTTCCTGGGCGAAACCGCGTTGAGCATGTTTCACAGTGGCAACGTCATTGAGCTTATTGACGACAAGCTCCTGGACCAGCTAAGAGGGGATGTTAAACCTTTTGGGTTCAAGTGATGGAAGCTGAGGGTGTTGGTGACTCAATTCGAATCGGCAACAGGGTTGATCCTGTACCAAAGAAGATATTGGAGAATCAGGATATCTTCTTGAAGGATTTGCCACCAGGGCTACCTCCCAGCCATGAGGTTGATCATCAGATTGAGGTTATTTCGGGTTCTAAACCACCTACAAAAGCTCCATATCGTTTGAACATCAAGAAGATGGCTGAATTCAAGAAACAATTCACGGAGCTTTTTGACAAAAGTCATATCCAACTAAACAAATCACCTTATAAAGCACCAGTCCTTTTTGTTATGAGAAAGGATGGAACCATGAGGATGTGTATTGACTATCGGGCACTCAATAAGATCAGGGTTAAAAATAGTTATCCTTTGCCTCGCATTGACGACTTATTTGACCAACTTTTAAAGGCTAAATATTTTATGCAACTTGATTTGCGATCCGGGTATCATTTGATACGGGTGGCAGATTAGGATGTGGAGAAGACAACTTTTAAGACTCGGTATGGATCTTATAAGTTTCTTGTCATGCCGTTTGGGTTATGCAATGCTCCAGCAACGTTTAGCACTATGATGGATAGAATATTTGGAGATTATTTGGACACATTTGTTGTCCTATATATCGCCAATATTCTAGTCTTCAGCAAAACGTTGAAGGATCATTTAAAACACTTGGAGCTGGTGTTTCAAAAATTGCGTGAACACCAATTGTATGTCAAGGAAAGTAAATGCACTTTTGGACAATTGCGCATAAACTTTCTCAGACATATAGTTGGTGGTGGCGTAATTGAGGTCGATCCAAAGAAGGTGGAAGTGGTGAAGTCCTGGGAAATCCTGACCACTATATCAAATGTTTGTTCTTTTCTCAGTTTGGTGGGATACTATTGCAAGTTTATCCACAATTTTGCAAGAATTGCTCTTCTGTTGACTGAGTTAACGAAGAGTAGTATTCCATTTCATTGGACACTAGCTTGTTAATGTGCTTTTGTACAGTTGAAGGAGATCTTGACTATAGTTCTTATTCTCAAGATCCCAGATCTTGATAAACCCTTCGAAGTGCATTGTGATGCATTTGGTTATGCTATTGGTGCCATGTTACAGCAAGATTATGACAAAGTGGTTGGTGTTACACTAAGACGACATGGTTGTCCTATTGTGTTCTATTCCAAGAAATTGGATGAAACTCAATGAAGATGGCTAACGCATGAGAAAGAAATGTTTGCTATAGTGTTGGCCCTGGAACACTACAGACATTACTTGGGTGGACACATCAAGGTTTATACAGATAGTAACACACTAAGCTACTTTGCTACACAGCCTAAGCTTACGCTGAAGCAGGCTCGTTGGCAAGAGAAGCTTGCTAGATATGATATTGAAATCATATATAAACCTGGTAAAGACAATATTTTCCAGATGCGTTGAGTCGTCAAGCTTAATTCCGGGCAATATTGGCAATTAGTTTAGACTGGTTAGAGGATGTTTAGGCTTTATATGGAAGTGATCCATTGGCAAAGGCAATCTTATGCCATGCGGGGCTGTTGAAGCAGAGCCTACTAGCGAAGCAGCGAAAGTTGCTAGTCGCACTAATGCGATGTTTCACTTCTCAGTTCGGGATAGGCTTATATTTTATAAGCAAAAATGGCATAAGACATATGGAAGTGATCCATGGCAAAGACTCTAGCTTCATTGAAAAAGGAATTTTTCTGGTCTAGTATGGAAGGTGATGTAGTGGATTATGTTCGTTCTTGCCCTATATGCCAGCAATGTAAGTGTAGAACTGAGAAGCAAGCTGGAAAGTTGTAGTGCATTCCAACACCGGCATAGCCATTTCAAAGTGTGACACTTGATTTCGTCACTTGTTTGCCGAAATCTAAGGGTTATGATACTTTGATGGTGGTTGTGGATCGGTTGTCAAAGATTGCACACTTCATTCCAACTGTGGGAATAGTGAATGCGAAATAAGCAGCAAAGCTCTTTTTCCATGAAGTCATATGGGTTCATGGTCTTCCTGAAGAGATGATCTCGGATAGAAATTCGAGGTTTACGGGGAAGTTTTGGGGCACACTGTTCCAGTTTGTCGGCCAGTCCTTATGGACACTCTTTCCTTACTATCACAACAGTAGGAGGTCAGTACTACTGGTTCCTTTTATGATCTCCACTCAAGCTAATTGAGAAACTGGTCATCGCATGTGCACTTGACCAGATGAGCTTAAAGACGGAATTTCTACATGCTATTTGTTAAGCATACTTGACCTGGTTAGAGAAACTCATTCGTTGACTTGCACTTGCTAGTGTTGGGAACCCCAGCGATATTGAGACTAGTCCTTCAATATTCGCTAGATGATAGTTTACTGTGTCTGACAAACACTCTTGCTATCATGCCCTTTGTGTTAGTTTCATTTTGGTCCCAAATGCTATTTATGAAAAGTGTCTAAATTCACTTATTTGGCATATCTATAGAATTTAGAGGTTGAAACGAACAAGAGAGCGATAGGCCAACCTCCCAACCCTTAAGGCGTTATGGCCTTAAATCCCACAGGCCATAGAATATTCTTGGAATATTCTTGTGGTTCGTGTCATTCTCCCCTCCCTCATGACCCAGCCACATACGGCAGCCTCGAGAAGCTAAACGAGCCTCACATGAAGGGAGTCCAAGGCAATATGGCCATGGAGAAAAGATGTGCAAACGGCAACACCAACGTCGCAACAAACGGTCACGAAAGAAAGAAAGCAATACGGCTTTCTCACATGACAATATGGTCATGGAAAACAAGAGAATGAGAATAGAACAAACAGCTCAAATCATATAGCAATACGGCTATAAAACTCAATTTTCCCCTTCCTCAGGAATGTCATCCAAGTCATAACCAAAACTCGGAAACACTCTCTTCATGTCATCCTCAGTTTCCCATGTAGCTTCGTCCATGGAATAACCATTCCATTGAACTAACAACTCCCTAGTTGTTTTCCGGTGTGTTTTCACCAATCTTTGAGCAAGAATATTGGCCGGACCAGCCTTCTCTGCATCAATCTCTGGAACCTGGATGATGGACTGATCCACGATATCACCAGAGTGCAAACACACTTTAAGTTTGCTCACATGGAATGTTGGATGAATCTTCGAACTAACTGGCAAATCCAAAGTGTATGCAAGATCCCCCACACGCTGTAAAATTGTCCAAGGCCCACAATACCATGGGGACAACTTAGCACTACCACTTCCTTTTAGAGATTGTTGTGCATTCGACAGCTTAAGGAAAACCTTGTCACCAACTTTGTACTCTTGATGATGACGATGCTCATCAGCCAATCTTTTGTCTCGTTCTTGAGTTTGCCTCATGTTCAATTTTGCCAACTCAAGCTTGTCTTGCATATCCTCCAGGAAATCACAAGCATGAGGAACCCGAACCAAAGCTAAATTCAAACTCACAGGAGACCTAGGCTCATAGCCATACATCGCCATAAAAGGAGACATGCCAATAGCCGATTGATGAGCGCTATTGTGAGCAAACTGAAGCAAAGGCAAGTATTTTTCCCATACTCCCTATCGAGTCAAGTTTCCCACAAAAGACCGTAGCATATCTTCTAATAGCTGATTCATGCGCTCTATCTGCCCATCAGATTGTGGATGCTCACCACTACTCATGCTCAGTTTAGTCTCTAGTTTTTCAAAGACTGTTTGCCAAAACTTGGACGTGAACTTAGGATCTCGATCACTCACAATGTCACCTGGCAAACCATAGAGACTAAATAACCGGTCTACAAACAACTGAGCAAGTTCAGAAGCTTTTATCATTGTCTTCATAGGGAAAAAGTGAGCCATCTTTGTCAAACGATCCACAACAACCCAAATAGCATCATTTCCTCGAAAGGTTTTGGGCAAACTAGTGATAAAGTCCATCGAGATGCTATCCCACTTATTCTCAGGTACATGTAAAGGATGATAGAGGCCAGCGAGCTTCTAATGATCAACTTTGACCGCCTGGTAGGTCAAGCAACCACGTACGTACTTCTCAACATCTGACTTCATCCCAGGCCAAAAGAAATGCCTCTTCACCAACATATACGTTCTCAATACCCCCGGATGCCCAGCACTTGGCACATAATGACACTCAACCAAAATCCGTTTGATGAGTTTGTCAACACGAGGAACCACTACACTCCCTTCTTCACCAGGATTCCATCTCGTATTTCGAATGACGCAAACTTGTCACCCTTCAAATCTGTAGAGGCGTCCCTCAACAAAACCTTCACGCAAATATCAGTGATAAAGGAGTCGAAGTCAACAAACTCCTTAAGCTCATCCAAGAGATCGCTGGATAACTTCACGAATGAGATAGAATTTACCATCCTGGATAACGCATCAGCCACCTTATTGTCACCTCCATGCTTGTACCGGATCTTAACAGACATTTCCTACAGGAACTCTTGCCAACGAGCAAGGCGGCCTCAAAGATCCTTTTGTCAACTGAAATATTGGAGAGATTGATGGTCTGAATCCATATGGAAGTCCGATCCATAAAGATAATGTCGCCATTCCTTCACAGCAGCAATCACAGCATACAACTCCTTGTCTCGAGTAGGCCAATTCCGCTGTGTGGCATCAAACTTATGGCTCATGTACGCAAGAGGATGCCCAACTTGAAGCAAAACAGCTCCAATAGCAATGTCACTTGCATCTGTCTCGACCACAAGAGGCTTTTCAGGATCAAAAATCTTCAACACTGGAGCAGAGATACAACATTGCTTCAAACGTTGAAATGCCACTTCACACTTCTCATCCCAACCATGAATAATAGCATGTTTCGATGTATTCTAGAGAAGATCAGTTAAAGGGGCTGCTATCCCTGAAAAGTCCTTCACAAATCGTCAAAAAACTCCAACCATACCAAGGAAACTACGGAGATCATGCACTGTGGAAGGTATAAGCCAATCAACCACGGCCTGAATCTTTGTGGGATCAGCTCTCACTCCATGTACCGAAATCAAATGCCCGAGATATCCAATCTCCTCTAAAAAAACTCGCACTTGGATAATTTCGAGTAGAGCTTGTTGTCCCTCAAAAGCTGTAAAACACTTCGTACATGCATCTTATGTTCCTCCACGGAAGAGCTGAATACTAAGATATCATCAAAATAATCAATTGCAAACTTTCCCAAGTAAGGTTGTAGAACGTGATTCATCAATCTCTGAAAAGTTGCAGGAGCATTTGTCAAACCAAACGGCATCACTAAAAACTCGTAGTGACCTGTCCTTGTTCGAAATGCAGTTTTTGGAACATCCTCTGGCTTGACACAAATCTGATGATATCCTTGCCTCAAATCAATCTTCGAAAAATATCAAGCTCCACGAAGACGATCAAGCAAATCATCGATACGAGGGATCGGGAACATATTCTTCACTGTCCTATCATTTAATCCCTTGTAGTTCACGCAAAGACGCCATGTACCATCTTTCTTTTTGACCATCACCACTGGAGCAGCCCAAGGAGACTTGCTAATCCGTAACCACCCTTTCCGAAGGTATTCAGCAAGCTGCCTATTAATCTCTTCATCTTCAGCGGGACTAGTACGAGTCAGTTGTCGCTGAAAAGGAGTAGCTCCAGGAACCAAATCAATCTCATGCTGAATTCCACGTTCTGGAGGCAAACCATCAGGTAACTCATCCGGAAATACGTCACGGAACTCCTCCTGAATGGAATCCACCGTGTCTCATGCCCACGAACGTACTCCAAATCAGACATGATCATATTAGAAAGAAATGGGTACACCACAAAAGAATTAGCTATCTCATGCATGCATGTCACCAACTCCAAAGCGTTAATCAATGGAGTATCACTATTGTCTGTCCCGACAATCTCTTTTATAGTGCCACCAACTTCGATACGCAGAACATTACACTCCCAATCGATCCCTGGCTTCCTGTCATAAAACCATTCCTTCCCAAGAATAACGTCTGTGCGACCAAGATCCATAACCTGAAACGAAGGATGGTCGAGAATCCCTTGAACCGTCAAAGGAACACTCGGAGCCCATTCACCGTAAATACGAGTGCTATGTCCATCTGCCATAACCACCTCATAGATTACTGAACTCTTTTCCACAGGCAAACCAAGTTTCTTCACCACCTTAAAGCTCAAAAAGTTGTGTGTAGCACCTGGATCGAAAAGAATACTAACAGCATGTCCTTGAATGTCCCCTTTGGCCTTCACAAGTTGATTGCACATAGAACCATTAATCTCTACAGAGTTGATACGAACTCGAGACTTAGATTCTTGAATTTTTGCCACAGGGTGTGGAAGAGCCACCACAGCAGATGCCTGAGCTGTATCCACAATGGATTCCACCACATTCACCTTAGCATTCTTTGATCCCTTCACAAGAGGACAATCCTTGCCATGATGTCCAGCCTTGTGACAACGAAAACAATTGCCCTCCACCTTGTCCTTCTCTTGTTGGTCTAACTGATGTCTTTTTGCCTCATTGCCATCTCCACTCTTCGAGCTATGACGAAGCAACAGCTGTTTCTTCCCTGAAAATGAAGTATTGGTGGGTTGGTCATCACGTTGACCACCCCGGAGACCATCCTTTTGACCAGCGTTGACCGAGTTGACCGACGGTTTGGGCAAAAAGATTTGAGCCTTAGTGATAGCATCAGTCAATGTTGCTGGAAAATCCTTCTTGACCTTCTACTGCACATCCACCGAGCTCAATCCTTTGATAAAACATTGCACCTTTAGCAGCTCATTGTAGGTGCCCGTGAGACTAAGGCAAAGATCACGGAACTTGCGAGCATACACATCCAAAGACAAAGTCCCTTGCTGGATCTATAACAACTGATTCACGAGATCAACCTCTTCAAACTTCTTGACAAACGAAGCGCAGAAAACCTTTGTCAAATCAGTCCAAGAAGTCAGCTTCGGATTAGCTTTGATGTAGTTCTTCCACCACGAAGAAGCATGGCCCGTAAGCTTCGTCACAAAGAAATCTATCTTCACCTTATCCTCACAAGGATTGTGAGACCAACAACTTTCCCACAATTCCAACCAAGAATCAACCTCTTGACTATCACAAACATCCGGTGATGATTTCCATTCCATAATACCATAATCCTTGGCATGCTTGATGTACCAATGGTAATCACGGACATGAGATCGATTCAATCCTTGAGGGTCCATGTGAAGCAAGAAATCCTTAATTAGATTGACGGAATCCTTAACCTCCTTTATGTCGCTCTGAACCGCAGAAATCTGGCGTCCTTGCCGCAGAACAACATCATCAAGAGTCTCTTCCGCATCGTCATGGCTATCATCACTAACGCCATACTCCTCATCAGGATCAATATCTTGCTCTCCCGCCATCCCCAAAAGAACGTGCTGCTCCGATACCAATGAAACGAACAAGAGAGCGAACCCTAGGCCAACCTCCCAACCCTTAAGGCGTTACGGCCTTAAATCCCACAGGCCATGGAATATTCTTGGAATATTCCTGTGGTTCATGTCAAAGGTCGGCTGAACATAATGGTGTTCGTCCCGTGTCCAAATTTGCAATCTAAAAACATTCTATATTTAGTAAGTTTCGGACTTGTCCCAAAGACTAACTCCTGGTACTAAAGGAGGCTTGGGGTGAAAGCCCAAAGCATGTGTCCCTCAAGGGGGGAAGGGGGGGGGGGGGGGATGGGGGGTTCCAAATGTATAATAGGGATAGTGGTTGAAATGCATGTCTAACCATCTAAGACATTAGTTTGGCTCCCACTAGGGTGGGGTACTCCTTGTTCTGTATTCGGCTTGAGTCTAAACCCAAGCTCCACGCTGCTTTAGTTAGTGGGGTACCCTCCTCCTTGTGTTAGGCCACTAGTATGCCAAAATTGTGCCAGACTCCGTCTGACACCATTTTGCGTGCAAGTGTTGGATATGGGGAGTTGGTGCTTGTGGGATTGTATCGAACCTTCATTTCGTAGTGCAACGGGCTTGGAATTTAACTCCAAATTCAGGTGTGCTACAAAATTGGAGCTATGACCAGAGCCTACTTCAACACCTCAAAAGCTTGCTATTAGCAGTTTGTCCACTCATACTTTACATCTTTGGGTAATAGCTTTGTCAAAGGTAAAGCTTTTTCCACATAACTCCATAGAACTTTGTGATGATAATTTTTATTTTTTATAGCAATACCCATACACATGCATGTGTATGGGATGAGATGGACCTTATTGTGCTTGTGGGTGATCTTGAACTTGAGCTTTAGTTGTTGAGCCAAGATTTTGACTTCATCCTAGGTATAGATTGCTTATAACACAATTATACTAAGTGTAAAAGAGAAGAAATTAAAAAAGTGTTAAAAA